CCCCCCCCCCCCCCTTTAAACCACCTTGAATGACTATAGCATTTAAGGGTGATATATAAATAAACTTTCTTTGCCTTGTCTTAAGTTATTATCTCATTCCTGATTTAACATATTCTTGTATCTGCACAATAATGACTAAAGGCAAATGCTGGGCTAAGGCTGTGAGGATATTGTATTATTATTTTATAGTGCAAAGAAACCTAAAATGACATACACACAAGGTCATTTATCTGCCTTTTGTCCACATGCAGGAAATTAACAGCAAGCTGTGCATAATTTGTCCGAAGCATAAGTACAAGCTCACTCTAGCCAAAGGGGAGTGCTTATACAAAGGCAACAACCCCAAGGAAAAGCCACCTGTGCCCAGATGGTACTCCAAGGGTGTGAAGCAGAGAACGCACACAGTCACAGAGAACAACGGGGAGATCTACGTCAAGCTCTCCGATAACCCAAATTGGATCGAATCAGATTACTACCAAGGAGAAAAAGGCAAAATAGAAAGAGCCAAAGCTGAGGCGTCTGAGAAGGAAACATCTTGACAGTAATGGATGAAGATTGCACCCAAGTGTTTTCTTTTTGTCTGCTTTGATCTCCTCTAAATAATTGCATGATGACTGTATGGCAAGGTTGTTAGTGATGACATGCACTCTGTGGTCAATTTATTAGCACTCAGTTGGATAGATAGCTCTAAAGTGGCTCTTGTTTTTGGTCATTTTTGACTGTATTTACACGTTTGTTTGGGTGATGGTTTATTTCAAACACTGGTAAAGCATTGCCATTTAACACTGATGTCTGTTTGTCAATAGCATCATCTCCATCTCTAAATAAACATTTCTAAGGATGAATTTGGATTTCTGTGTCATCCATCTCATATAGGACAGTGACATCCAATACTCTTTGTGTAGTATGCATACAGGGAAGGAATCAGTAGCACTGATGAGATCCTAGAGTGGAGTGGTTTTGCAGTATCCAAGTCTCTGTATTGCTTCAAATGGCTTTAGAACGCAAGTATATGATCTCAGAGGCTGCATAGATTTACGTATTTGGGATTATTGTCACATATTTTTTCCCCAGTAACTGCAAAAAACGAAAACCTGTTTGCTGAGAAATTAGATAATCCAAAAAGTCTTGGAGGGTTGCAGATACAGCACGCATTTGTCTGGCTCTGCGGCCTCTGAGGGGGCCCTGCATATTTTGTATAAAATGTATGGTTTTTGTTGGGGATACTTTTATTTGTATCCAGTATTGCATAGGTGACAAACTCTGGCCCGCGGGCCAAATTTGGCCCGCAGCCTATTTACATTTGGCCCATGAAGCCATACCAAATTACTATTAGAGCTGGCTTACTGGTATTATACAGCTACTATATATATTGTTTAGTATTAAGCTTTGCTTGTTCCATATTCAGTTTTTCAGCAAAACTTGTTTGAGTCCATAAGAAAAGATTCATTCTTAAATCTGGAGGAAGATTTTTTTTTCAATAAATATTAATGTTAGCCCGCGACCTTGTTCCAGTTTTGAATTTTGGCCCACTGTGTATTTGAGTTTGACACCCCTGCTGTAGCTCAACTGCAGGCATTAGCTGGATAAGCAAAAGAAGATGGATGGACGAATGAATTAACAATTTCACAAAGCAGGGAAAATACATACAGTTAGTGTTATTATTATCTATTTCATCACATGTCAGTAGAATTAATGTGACTTAATGCATGGCTTTCCTATACTTCACATGCAGTGAAAAGAATGAGGCTGTAGCATTTCTTAACCATTTGATATGACGGGTCAAGGCAGCCTGTCACATTCAGATTATTTCTCTGTTTCTGTACCAGAATTGTACAATAGTGACATTGGTTGAGAGCACAAATGCTGTGGGGTATAGAGCCCCTCTGTGCATGAATGATGCTGTTCTCTAGCTGGCTTATAGCAAACTCAGTACTGTGTGAGTCTTCAGATACAGTCAAGAAAGACCCATGGTTTACATGGAATAAGGGGGCAGTTTAATTACATAATCAAGTTGGGAGTCTTGACAGAAGGCAGTGGCCATTGTCTGCAGGTGGTCATTTGCAATAGGTCAAGCGGTGGGCTGTTCGTCAAGATAAAGAGCAGACTGTGGGGAAAGTGCTTAGCAGGGCCAGTGCATCTGCCAGAAGGAGAGCATGTAAGCAACACAGATTTTCAGTGTAGAAGGGCATTCAAACTCAAGCCCTGGTTTTATGTTATGCATTATTCATAATGGCTGCGAATGACCCATGAGGCTCTGATTAAGCCTTTAAGGGTCAGGCTATTCTTCCCCTCAATTCTCAGTGGATGCCCTGGAGCTTTTCCAAGAGGGCCAGCCAGATCTTATTATTACCTTTTACCTACCTCTCCCACAACAACAAAACACCTCCCGAAAAAAAGCTGGTTTAAGCATTTTAAATGTCGTCGCAGTGTCAGCAAATAGCCGGTCGCGTGCTCACTTTGGTGGTCATTATTGTTATCCCTGTCATTAACACTGAGCACCGTGCTTCCAGCTCGAGGTAATTAACTTTTGTGTGAACGCCTGTGGAGGAGTGCGGTGACAGTGTGGGGCAGCGGAATGGTGGCAGGCGCGCACACGTGCCGTGCAGAGGGGCAAAGCTGCGGTGAGGCAACAAGGTGTAAGTCCGAGTAAACAAAAACGGGTGAGGGTGTTCGTTTGTGCGCGTGTGTTGGCGCGTGTATGTCCG